AGGTCAACATTGTCTCCTTGAGGCTTTAAAGAATGGTTACACTCAGAGAAATGCCTAAAAATGCTGCTACTTTTGTAGTCCTTGTGTGATATCCAGTTCAGATTGTCTGTAGGTAACAAAACAATGTTTCCGAGTGTCAGCTCTGCATATGTGACAAAGACCCAAAAGCGGAGCTGGGTGTTTTCTTGACTTTGACATCAATAATTGCAAAGATGCTGATGCACAGCTGAGGTGAGCAGTGTGTGAGCAGTATCTGGCTTTTCTCATCTGCTCTGGCTTGAGGGCAGTGTGCTGAGGGGATGCTGATTTCACTGCTGAGGAAGATGCTTTCCTGTGGCTGGCTGGTGTTTAGGTTTTAAGCTTCTCTCTGCTGTGCTGCTCAGTGCTTGCAGCCTCTCAATGGTCATGTGCAAGAGTGAGATTGCACACCCGGGACACAGCACCCACAACTCAGGCCAGGCAGTGGCACTGTAAAATCCTAAAGTGCACTTACAGAAATCTGTCCCATGATTTCTCCGTCTGTATCTCAGTTGCCTGACAAAACTGTGTCCTCCTGGGAATCTGAGCAAAATGCACTAGGATTATAGTCTGCACTGAGCTATTCTAAGATATTTAAAAGTGAATAAAAAGCAGCACAGGAAAACTAAAAATAACACTACCATTCTGTGGAAAGCATGGATGTGCCATGACAGAAGCAGAGTTAGGGAGGAGAAACTTATCCTGGTCCAGTTCAAGGCAGTCTGGTTAAAGTGATGCTAATGATGGTGTGAAAATGTGCGGCGGGTTTGAAAGCGGCTTTTTCGTTCGGCGCAGCTGCTGCAAGCCCTGGGGCGAGCTGTCGGTCTGTCCGCGGTGGAGCCGCTCAGAGCCGTGCGGGCAGCGCAGCACTGCCCGGGGCAGGGCCGAGGGCTCCGGGTGATGCTCCCCAAGTGCCAGCGCTCGCCTGCGAGCCTCGGGGAGCCGCAGGCCTGGCCCCGGTGTGCGCCGGCACCGGGCGGGGGCTGCTCAGCGCCGCCCGTTCCGATCCGCGCCAGATCCCCCGGGAAGGCACCGGCACCTCCGAGCCCTTCGCTCCGCTCCATCCATCCCTCTCTCGGCCACATCTTCTGCGGACACCGGAGCCGCACGGGACCCTGCCCGCCCATTCCTCGCGGGGCCGGCCGGGGCTCGGGGCTGCTGTGCCCGGCTCGGGCGAGGTCGCGGGGCGCTCCCGGGTTTGTCGTGCCCGGTTCGGGCCGTGCTCGGGGCGCTCCCGGGTTTGTCGTGCCCGGTTCGGGCGGTGCTCGGGGCGCTCCCGGGTTTGTCGTGCCCGGTTCGGGCCGTGCTCGGGGCGCTCCCGGGTTTGTCGTGCCCGGTTCGGGCCGTGCTCGGGGCGCTCCCGGGGCCGTGCCCGTGTCGGGGCTGCAGAGCCGAGGCGCGGCCGCCAGGGGGAGCCGGTGCTCGCGCGGCGGGCGGGCGCACCTGGCGCGCGCGGGGCCGTGGGT